AGTTCCACGCATCGAAGAACCCGTTCGAGCAGATCGGCTTCTACGGCATAACTTTACAGTTCGATCAATCGAACGACTTTTGAAGTCCGCGAGTTGTCCTTGAATAGCACCTCACCTCAGGACCTTTTCAATGGCCGATTTTGTTGGAGCGATTTGCAGTCCAAACTCTTTTGCAGCCCAACTAGCCAATTCGTAGTAGCTTGCATTGTAATTTATGCTTCTCGAGCAATCGTTCTTGTCGAAGGTGCCATTCACAGTTTCGTCTTTGAATTGATGTTGGTGAATTGTGCAAATCGAAATGAATGTTGAATATTCCCTTGTTAATAAATATCTCAACAAAGTATAGGATTATTCTATACTATTTATTTAGACTGTGTCCAAGGCAGGGGGATATTAGTATTGTGCTTCCATTCCATGCACCACTTTGGAGGACAAGCGCATTTGGAACCATTTGTTCACAGCTTTCCACATCTGGTAGAGTTTCAAGTGCGATTTGGTAGCAATACGATAAAAGGGACGGCATACGCTTGGTCACGAGCAACGATACGACCCGCGCGACTAGCGTCTTGGCCAGAAACAGCTGACAACCCAACGTTGACATTGTGCAAGCCACGATTGTTTCAGATATAACTGGAATTCTCTTGATGGACATGGAAACCATGGGAATTTGGTAATGCTCTTTAACTGGCCGCTAGTTGTGGTTGGAGCGAATCCGAGAATAGCGGGAGCAGCACTGAGAACGGCGCAACAGATTAATCGAGCTCATGCGTATATGGACATGCCAACTTGATAAAACTCGACACAGTAGGACTTCAGGTTATATGAATGTTTGTAAGCAGAGCGTTGAATTGACCCTATTAGCATATTTGCTATTGAAATTGTCAATACCCACCCACCTGGCATGTCTGTAGCCGTTTTGATTCGCCCAAAATGCACAAAATTAATTCATAATATCGTCTTACCCTGTCCAACCAAGGCACTGCCATGCGATGCGCCACAAAATGACCATTATTGGTCTCGAAGGATTCCTCCAGCACAAGTAATCGAAACCGAAAAGCCACATCCTAACCAACCACGTCACTAACATGGGCAACCTCTCGACAGCCGACATGCTGGACCATCCATGGCCATGATGGCCCTGTCAGGGTACAAGGCAGTGTCGACAGGGCCGGGCCCACATACGTTGTCATCACGAGGACGGCCAACCTGTTCGACCATGAACAGCCAAGCCGAGTCACCATCCTCTCGATGGCCGACATGCTTGAACGTCCATGGCCATGGCGACACTGTCACAGGACATGGCATTGTCGCTTTGGTAGGGGTATCCCTTCTGAAGGGCAAATAGAACTTGCAAAATGCGTCGAGCTCTCGAAAGCAATCATCAGCTTTATGCGTGTGTCGATGCTATACAGTATCGCCGCTGGACTCGATGCGGGAGGACCAGTGTTGGAATTTAAAAGTTTTAAGCACGAGGGAAATTCGAATCGACCAATTACATTGTGCTATTACCCAATGCGTATTTATCCAATCGCTGCGCGAAATGTAATTGTGACTGCATTTCGCCGAAACTACATTGCTCATCAGATGCGCAATTCTTTTGGAGTACCCCTTCGTCGAGTTTTTATCAAGTTGACTGTCTGTATTTCGCGATGTAATATCGCCTTCAAAAGTTCCATCTTGAATTGGATGAGAGTGAGAGACACGGAAAATACCGAGATGCGACCTTTGCAATTCCCTTGTCCGGTACTTGGACTATTGATGTCTAAGAATGTATGCTTCACTCGTGGAATTGATAAGAATATTTCACTTTGAAAAAGATTCAACGGGTATTATACTCTGGAGTACCTATTAGTTCTACGTAGCAGTAAAGAATTTGACGGCACCTAGGTGTGGCACACGTGAGCGAAATCCACAAATGAAGAAAACTAAGCTGCTGCACGTCGTTCGGTTTGGATGTGTTGGGGAATCGTTGTGGACAGGCCTTGCTTCATCGCCCCAGCTTCTACCAACGACAGCAGACCTGCCAGGCAATCCGCATGGTATAGATAGAGGTAGCAGAATTTCAACTTTCACAACAAAGATTGCCATGCTAGGCACGTTCGACAGTTTGTTCTGGAAGCACCTTCATGGGTATCGATGGGCCAGTCCTCCTCCATCTTGATTCCGAATGCTGCAAGGCGACCAGAGCTGTCCCTTCATGTCATGGCATCGACCACATAACAATACGAGCCACTCGTATTTCTGTCAGATGTTGTACGTACGCTGAGCGACGACATAGTTGGATGGGGAAAATCACCACATCTTGCGCCGGGGTGCTGCTGCATGCGTCGGGGTCAAGTTCCAAGTGTGCTT